GGCTAGGGCCCGAGACAACATCAACAAGGCTGCAAACCAATCCACAGTCGTGAAACCCTATTTCGCCGAGATAGTGTCGTTTCATGGGGCTTGCCTATTTGAGCTGCTCAGCGCAGTTTCCATGCCTAGTGGGGATGGCTAGGGCCCGAGACAACAGCAAGAAGGCTGCAAGCCAATCCACAGTCGTGAAGCCCTATTTCGCCGAAATAGGGTCGTTTCAGGGGGCTTGCCTTTTAGAGCTGCGCGGCTCATGATCTTTACTTACTAGGCCTTGGTAGGTTGGGAAACCAGGCCAAAACGGCGGCGAACCAATCAACCGTTGTGAAACCCAATTTTTGCCCAAAAGGGTTTGTTTTAAGGTTTCGAACTAGGGACCCAAATTACCAAATCGACGCGCGAGCGGCCTAGTTGGAAACACCGCAACCGTCGTAGCGCGAGGCTCAGGCTCGCCCCCACCCTCTGGAAACTTTTTCTCTTTTCCCACGTTGCGCGCGCGCGCGTGTACGTTGCGTGCGGGTCGGGAGTGCTTAAGTGAGAAGGGCGTTTCCTTACCGACTGATCCACAATCGTGAAACCCTATTTCGCCAAAGTAGGGCTTTTTCATGGGGCTTGCCTATTCGAGCTGCTCAGCGCAGTTTCCATACCTAGTGGGGCTGGCTAGGGCCCGAGACAACATCAACAAGGGTGGAAACCAACCACAGTCGTGAAGCCCTATTTCGCCGAAATAGGGGTTTTTCATGGGGCTTGCCTACTTGAGCTGCTCAGCACAGTTTCCTGACCTAGTGGGGCTGGCTAGGGATTAAGACAGCATCAATAAGGCTGCACACCAATCCACAGTCGTGAAACCCTATTTCGCCAAAATAGGGTTGTTTTATGGGGCTTGCCTATTTGAGCTGTTCAGCACAGTTTCCTGACCTAGTGGGGCTGGCTAGGGCTTAAGACAACATCAACAAGGCTGCAAACCAATCCCCAATCGTGAAATCCTATTTCGCCAAAATAGGATTGTTTCTTTGGGCTTGCCTATTTGAGCTGCTCAGCACAGGTTCCTTACCCAGTATGCCTGGCTAGGGCCTGAGACGTCAAGAAGGCTGCTTGGCTTGGTGGAGTCCTGGTGCTGGACTTACCTCGCATAATTTTGTTTTGAAATTATTCTACCTCGTACCTCGCGAAGTGAGCTCGCAATAATTCGCTCAGATTCATTGACCATCAAACACACATATATACTTCCCAGCATGTGCCACCGTAAGCCCTACGCCAATCCATGCCAGTCTATTCACTATTCAATTCAGCAAACGTCCAGCAAACATGAACCCCCCACTCGAGGAGTGAGAGCACCCACTCGAGGAGTGAGAGCACTATGCCAGCCCTCCATTCAAAACTCCTTGAAACATCCGCCCATTTATACAGTTGGCAAACCAATTATGAATGAGAATTAGAAGTATACAACAAAACACGTCGTTTGTACAGGAAAACCAAGAAAACTCACATCATGATTCCGCACTTATTCCTCCATATTATCTTTTTCTGGATGCCGTTTTCTGTGCAAGTGTCTTTTTATCTCTCCCCCTCTCTCTCTCCCTCTCTCTGTCTTTTTTGGGGGGACCGGTAGTGTAAGTTACTCGGCGCAGCCCAGGAGTCCATGGTTGTGCGAGTGCTCTGGAGGTGCCTCAGCATGTGGCAGCTGATTTCTCAAACGTGGCCGGAATCGGAGTCCAAGGAGAGCGGTGGTGGCAAAATGTAAACTCATTGAATTCAGAGCCTTTTTAGACTGCAAAAAAACTTCTTCATATACCAACCAAGAGGAGAAACATCATACAGTACATCATCATACTGTGTTTTGCCAGGTCGAATCCGGAAACCGATGCCGGGTCCACAAAGTAGATTAACCACAAGCGACCCTCCTCTGGGAGCCGATCTTTCACAAGTCACGAGAGCATACGAGGGGTGGAAAACCTGTGAATATACACATGTTTCCTGAATCTTGATGCGAACGTCTTCCGTGTTTCAATGCAACAGTTAGTATGAGATGAAGCAACATGCGAAGAAGCAAGACCGCGTGAGAGCAATGTTTGCCTTGTGAGTCCACTGTTATATATGTATGTAACATATATGTATGACAACATATGACAAACCGCTCTGAACAAAGCAATCTTATATAAAACCTCACGGCTTTGCTTAATAACCTTGTTTCTTTCAATCCAATATCATGAGAACATAGCCAAAGGAGACAATCTGGCTTCCTGAAGAAATCGACCAAACATCAAAAACGATCAAGCCTAGCTATGAGCCGGAGGCCAGCCTGAGATAGCCTGAGTTGCAGCCAAACCCTGTTGCTTTTGTTGGCATGTGTTGGATTGTCTTGAGTTTTTTGGTTTTGGTCAGCGTGCTGGACATCATTCCTGAACAGATTATATAACTGGAACCTGTGTGATGTTTCTTTTTGCACACTGTTGGCGGCCAGTTGTGCTTGAACCATCAGCCCTGGCGGTGGACAGAATCCGCGGCGAGGTGTAGGTCCCGACGCTCCCGAAACGCCTGAACCAAGCTGCTTATCGGCAGCGTCCAGTCGGTCGTGGAAGGACTTCATCTTCTCCAAGGTTTCCTTCAGGACCTGGTCTCTTTTGGATTTGCATTGGAATAGGAAGACCTCAATAAACCAAAACGATCTCCTTATTCCAATACGCAGCCATGTCTATAACCACTTGCAGAATCACAGCCAGCATGTCGGAACAGCATTGCTGGCTCATGGCCCCACACTTGCACCTTGTATACGGCGTACGGCAAAACTGCGGCAAAAACAGGTCTACCTATTAAACATAATCCCAGCCATGAAAACGGATGGGTGGGGGCGTCCATCACTTCCAAAGAAATATATGAACAAGCAACAATAGTCAAAAGACCAAGTGAACCGTCTTCTCCAGCGGGAAGTTAGAGACACGGGACATTCCTCTTCCAAGAATTCAGAATAGGAAGTGAGAAGTGAGAACTGCAAAACCATGTGGCATGCATTGTTTTGCTCCATGTAACATACAGCCTGATAGTCTAGCTCCTTAACCACCGTCTGTGCGTTTTTGTTTCCCTTCGGACTTCGTATCTCAAAAGCCTCTCACTAACGAGCTCCCGCCTTCTGTTGTGCCAGCAAGGCTTTGTGGCGCTTCACGCCTGCTTGGAAATCCGTCTTGAAGAGTTCCTTCAACTTCGCCTCGCTGTCCTGGCCCTGCTTCTTCATCACCTCACGCGACTTCGTGGGGCGCCCCGGAGGCGGTCGGAGCCAACGTGGGTTCTCGCCAGCCCCGATGAGGCGACTCGGATGACCATCAAATCCGAAGACCAAACAGGTGAACTCCACTTCCAGCGGTTCCAGTGGTCCAGGATTATTTCAAGCTGAGTGTATATATTATATTATTGTATATTTCCGCACATGGACTTACTGACACACAAACCCCATGGGTGCCAACTTCACAACTCGATCTTTGAGGCTCCTATCTCAAATACGCACCTACTAACTCAATATTTTTCTGGTGTGCATTCATGGGGTATTTGTGGGCATGTGATGCGGTTGTTGCTGGCCAGCCCTGCACGTCAACATTGGCAGAAGCACCTTCACCTCATTGCCCAGCATGGTCAACAGGCTCTCGGGCTGCTCCGGTGCCGCCGCAGCGGCCGCCGGGGCCTCCGGCTCGGCCCATTCGGAGACCTCCAAGAAGGACACGGCCGCCGCGGAGCTCGGGCCGCTCGGGTGCTTCTCATCCTTCAAGACCTGCGGTGCGGTGCGGTTTTGGGCCGTGCCTTGCCACCATCGGCGAGGCGAAGAGTGAGATCGGTTCTGATTACTTGAGGGATCAGTGTAGGAGGGGTAGCGGTGAGTAGTATAGTGGTCGTCAAACATAGAGAAATATGTCTGTACAGTAGTCAGTATATATGGATAGATATATGTATAGTATGTATGTATAGTCGTATATATTTATACCGTAACATATGCATCCAACGGCGCATGAACCCGCCCATGACCAGGTCACTCGGCATCGGCCTCCAGGTCGCTCGCGTTGCTGTCGTCCGTCTGAGTCAAGGAATCCTTCAAGAAGCTCTGAGCTGCCGTGAGCTGATCCTGCAACATGTTCAGCTCTCCATGACCTCGGCCCCCCGCAACGTGGAGTTCGAGGGAGCTCCCGCCGTGTCTCCCAAGGGTTGTGGTGTGATTTCATAAACTGTTGTAACTATCAATCTGGTCAAAATCAGCATCATCAGCTTTGGCAGTGGAGTCAACGCAATCACGTCCAAGACACGCAAGGAGTTACCCTTCTGCAAGGTCTGGGCGTGCTTCAGCAGCTTTTCATTCTCCTCACGGCAGCTCTTTCTCTCTGGGGGCCCATGCAGTACATCAGGGTTCAATGCATGGACGTTTAGCAGTCCAAGAATTACACACTGGAAATTTAACATGGAACCTGAAAACCACTGGGTTGTAGAGGAAAATCGTCTTCCAAAGGTCCATGCCATCAGGTTCCATGTGGGATCGACAAAATGGAAAGGAACTTCTTTGGGTCGGCCTGGGACAGTTTCGGCGCAAAGCATGTAATGTGAACATTGAATGTAGAATGGTTTGGCTTCTCCTTCTTCATGTTCATGATGTTCTGCGCGATCACAGCATTCTCCTTGACCACGGCCCTGTTCTTCTCCTCCTGCTCTTGCCTCAAACCGTTCCCCCATATCAGGGTGCCAAGTCCCAAAACTCTTTTGCCATTGTGGGCATTCTCGATTTCTCTTGGTACCCTTTCGCACCACAACCTCTCAACAATACACTAATAATAGTCTGTTGTATCTACAACTTCCGGGCCAACGTTGATTGTCTGCGCAGCTTGCCCAAAATCCAAGATGAAGAACGTATTCAAGTCCAGGAGTCGCACATGCTGCACAAATTCGGAATCATTTATAGCTCACCCTCACATGGGCTTTTGCCTGAGGTGGTCTTCTGCTTCGTGACTAACGGGTTGAGCCTTCCACCTGCAGTTGTCCTGGAGAAATCCACCACCGGGTCTACCACCGAGCAGCAACTTCCGGTCAAAGACCGCTTTCTGGCGCTGCATGCGCGCGGCGTTCTCCTGCTGAACCTGCAGCATCTGCTGCTGAAGCTTCTGCGCCTGGCTGCTGATTCCGCCTCGGCAGGCAGGAACAATATGACCAGCCGTTGAGCAAATCCGTTGGTCAAATCATCACCCACTCCTGGCTCCTGAAGGAAAACCCCTGCAATGAGCAGCAGGTGGCGCAGTCAGGGGTGCAGTTCGCAGTTGATAGCTTCCAGGCATAGTTGCGGACATGTTCAGCAGAAGGGCGTGGGAGCTCAACAGCACTATCCGATGCCTGGCATTTTTGAATGCAACAGTAGAGCTTGACCTTTTCCATCTTGTCCACTTGAATCATTTCAGCAGCAGAAAAAAACAACTACATATTCGGGCTACTTCTCATCACTTTACTACCACAGAAAGCACGCACTCCCTACCCTAGAACCCCACCCGTCCACCAAACCTGCCATCCCTGCCATCCGACACCATCGGAATTCCAGCCTTAGTCATCAAAAAGTTGTGGTGTCAAAAGCTGGTAGGGGCACCTCATAGAGTATTGAGGCCTTGGCCCAGTGGCCACACCATCCCACACCGAGGAACTCAAGGTCTGCGTGGACTCATCCAGCATGGCGGAGACTGTGGGCAACTCAGGAAATCCGCTCTTCCCCACGGCCACCATGTTGGGCACTGCAGGCAGGGGAACCTTCAGTCAGCGAGGGACTGCTAAGCGACCGGTTCTTTGAGCTCAGCGAAGATCCGCCTTTTGGCTCGGTCAAATGAGGAAGAAGAAAAGATGGAGCGCCGGACCGACCTGTGAAAACGTTTTGAACAACATGGGATTGGAACGAACATGGGACGTTTTGGCCCGTCATGGGATTGGTTGATATGTACATATGTTTGGTGCGATGATGTGCGATGATTCGTTGCATCAACGATAGATACTGGTCGATACCCAAGCTCACTACACGTTTTGTTACCTTTCGATTGGTAGGAATTTAAAACTTTAAACGGCCTGTTCCAGCTGACAGTTGACATGGAAGTGGCTCCCAAACACAGGTGGTCTGAAAAACAGGCCTGCATCTTGATTCGCTGCTTGTAACTTGTAATTTCACAACAACGCGTGACACAAACTAATGAGCTGAGATCCCTGGCGACCTGCCAAGACACCTCATCTGGGTTTGGGGGAGCTTCCTTGTGCACTGCGAGCACTGCGAGCACTCCCGGCGTCATCGCCGCGATGAACGTCAAGACCTGGCAAAAGCAAATTGAACTGTAATGTAGACTCTTGAGGTACACAACCTACAGAACCCCCCTTTGGAATTGAACAACCATGAAAACCAACGCATAACATATCGGGTGGACTCTCGGGTGGTTTATTCATCAAGGGTCTTACACAACACATTTGCAGCATCACCTTCGTCCCACAAAAGGACGGACGAGCAGCCCCGACTGAGGGTCAGCTCTCGCCCAACTGGACGTACTTCCGTGGCATTTGAGCAACGGCAAAAACCATCAAAAAACCCATCCACAGCCACACCAGATCTTCAATCCCATCCCATCCAAAGCTCTTGGCTTGAAAAGAGCTGGCTGTTCCGATCCCATCCACACCTGCGCGGACTTCATTGTTCCAAAGGATCGGATGGCTTCGCAAGAAAAGCTTCTTTCGAGAGCTGTGCGATCCGACTTGAGCCAGCGGCAATGTGCGGCACAACAGATGAACTGCACAACAAGCCATGAAGCATCATTATGAAGCGAATGCTCACCTCATATATTTTCACATATGCTCTTCCAAAAGCAGGGGGAACATGTTGCCTCAATGCCCAAATTGATCTCCAACGGATGTTTGAAGTTGCAAAGAGTTCCAACATTCATGATTCATGAGTCACAAAATCCTTGAGAAGGAACTGCTTGCACCACTTTCAAGGGTGTGCCACTGGGTGTGCCACGGTGCTGTGCCCAAATTCCGAGTCCACCGACTCAGGGCCCCGGCTTGATGCAAATCCCCTGGAAGCTCTCCTTAGCTCTAGAACGCTTCGAACATGGGTGCACAGGAACACAAAGCCAAACAAGGGACATACACACATGGGCAGGTTGAAGTCTAGGTCTCCTGTAGAAAATCTAGAAAGTTTTTTTTTTTTTTCTCAGCACTTATATAGGGGGGAGCTTCTGATGCGCTGCTCCTCTTTGGCGGCCCCGACTCCCGGACTTTGCGTTGGGAGTGACATGGATCTGCAGCCAAAGCACCCACATTCGCCAATTCTGTCTACACCTGCCACGGTTTGGCAACACCGACAATGCGACCAATGAGCATGTTCAACTTCAGCAAATAGACAAGCTAGCAAGGGGTCGGCAGTTGATACAATCCACAAAGTTGTCAAAACCCATTGGAGTTCTCCTCTAAACATCACTTGCTCTCAGGATATCCCAGGGTTAAGTCCAATAAAATCCAATAAGGATTCAAGGAGACATACTTCAACATCCATCCCCTTCCCTTTCCTCTCCCCCTTTGTCAATTCAATCAATGCAACATCCACTGGGAACAGTCCAGCGGCACCCCAGGAATCCCCCCGAAACCGGATGCTTCGTCTGGCCTCTTGGTGGCCTCCACCATGCAGGTCCGGGCCTCTTTCACCTCGCTTGGGCAAACACATCTGCAGCCCGGTGCTGGAAACACAACTGAATATATCCCCTGAACTGGCCAAACTCACCATTTACTGTAGAGCTGTCCACGCGTTTCAATGAGCTGCAAAAGGATTACAGACTCTAAATATCTCTAAATCCTCTCCCCAGCACTTGTTTGTTGTCAAAAGGCCCGGTTCTGGTGGAGGTGTACTGCAGCTAGGTTGGCCCACGCTTGGCCGTCCTGAAAGAAAAGCCAGCAAACAGGCACTGTGAGGGTGATACATTTACATTCTGTTGGTCGAACATTGTTAGAAACATGGATCTGCATTGATCATTTAAAGAAAAACGATTGCTGTAATTACGTCGCACATGTCAATAAACCCTTCTATGCCGCACAGTCCCTCAAACAATCTGGCTTGTCGAGACCGTCTGATGCTTGCAGTCAATCCTGACCTTGGTCAGCTCAGCCCTGTCAAACGGCCTACACTCCTCGAAACAATCACGGAAGTGGAACATGGGCCCCTGCAAGACCGTTTTCCTCTATGATACGGGGTCCGGGTCAGCTTCCATGTTTGTTGGAGGGAGGGGTAAATCAACCACCAGGTGCGCTGCGAGAGGAAGTCTTTAGGAAAGATGCCCAGAATACTTCTGCAACATACTTCTCTCGATTTTCCAGAGAGCCAAGCCTTGTTGCAGGTCCAGAAACTCTTTTGGGACCCTAGATGAGTCAGGAGGGTGATCACAGGTCATATTCTTGTTTGGTCTTGCCGTCTTTCCTGTCGTCTGAAAGGTTTGTAATGCACATGAATCATATGGTTTGAACCATATGGCTTGGGTCTATCCTATTTCCAGTAACAGTGGATGATGGTTAGTAGAGGCATTTCTGTAAAACAGTGATAACTGTTTACTGACTGTTACAGTTACAGGTATAAAATAGGACCAGGACCAGGACAAACCCAACATATGTCGTCGTCTTGCTCCTCGTCGTTGATGGCCAAAACACGCGAGAAAGCGACCATGGCTTCATCCATGCGCTCCAGCTGCATGAGCCCAACACCTGGAGTCGGGAGCTTGTTGGATAACCTTCTCATCTCCAAAAACATGGGTTACTCATACAAGGGCATTGATTCGTTTTCAACGTATGACTTCCCTGGGATAAGCCAAATTGATTCAGAAATGGTGAGCCATCGAAGGGATGAGGAGCTTTCCACCTAACCTGAAAATCCAAACACGGGAGGGAACGGCGCATAACCGCTCTAAGCGATCTGTGGTGAAGCTGGTGAGTGCAACGGCATGGCCGTGGGGTGAGATCTCCCGTGGAAAAGGAGAGGCGGACTTCACTCAAAGAGCTTTGGCCATGCGCAAGAAATCGCAAGTGTTCCGGACAGGACCGCATGCATGGAACCAAACACTCCGAATGTCACGGTTAGAGCCATCTCGAGCCTAAAGTGAACCAGATGCCCTCATACATAGGGTTGATGTCCAGGGCCAGCTTGAAGGCCTCCACACTCTTCGCAATCTGCTTCTTGTCAAAGTAGTATCTGTTACAGCATGGCAGGGAGCACAGGGCGCTTATATACGTTAAAATGAGGAGGGCAGCAATGTATTGAAGGCAAGCAAACTGTGAATACATGTGAACACTAGCATTTTGACTTCTTCAGTGCTGCTAGCACCAAAAACAGCCAAGTCAAAGACTGTATGCGAACATCCTTGCTCCTCGACGAACATCATTCGCATGAATGCTGCTTCTGAACAGCAACTAAGGAGACAGGCTTACAAATGTCCCAAGGTTGGTAAGTTGGGACCAAGCCTTCCGAGAGACCGCTGTGCTCGGGCAAAACGTTTCTTGGAAAGCTCCCAGGCAGTCTCATAGTGCTGTGGGTCTTTCATCACATCCCCCAAGCAGCACCAAAGCCTGATACCAAACTGCTCAAGTCAAGATCTGCCGCCTCTCTGGCTGATCTGACGCCCCACTTCAAGAAAATATGTTCATACTGATACTTGTTCATATATTGTGTGAGCCACGCTTTTGATTTCTTGCGTGGGCAAAACAACATTGGGTGCATGAATCCTTGTGTTCCATCGTTTTCATTTGTTTTTCCATCGTTTTTCAACATAACACATTTGCCGAGGCTGTTCATACCAACGACTCCGAGCCTTGGTGATGGATGCTTCTCGATGAGTTCCTGCGAACAATCCGACCAACGGAGGTCGGACCAACGGAGGTCGGATGCCTCGGTGATGTCCAAACCGGGGGACCGACCGGTTGACACCCCCCGACCAACCCGAACGCATTTCCTCCTCTGTGTTCGGGAGGTCCAACGAACCCGGGGTGAGGTTTTGACCCACACCCCATGGTAGCATATTCCTATAGGTGGTGCGCGACGTACGCGACCGGGGGTAAATCAACATACTAATTACAATAGGACAAGGCATCCAATATGGGGTTGGATGCCACCAACACTTCTTCAGAAAACGACCGATGCCACCAACGTCTGCGGATTCACCAGCTGCGTAGTTTCAACAGGTTTATGTACCTTTTTCTTAGCAATTCGTGGCCTTAGGCGTTGCACACCTACATATTATAAACAAAGCCAAGTCCTGCGATTGAGACCATCCCGGTCCCCCCCCACAATCGTTTGGACACGGCACTTGCCCCACCTTCCACGGCAAGGAAGGACACATGTCAAAACCAAATGACCAACTGCGCTGTCCCCATTCTTCGGCTGTCCAAGGGACATACCTGATACTATGGGCACTGGTGAGATGAGCTTTCGGTTGACCAAGAATCCCCATCTTCCGGTCTCCAGGACGACCCTCGTCGGCACCGTGGTTTTTCCGCCGGGCTCCACAGGGAGCACCGTCCTTGAGCATATCCTCTGCTTCCACATTTCGCTCTGCTATGATTAAGCACTCCACCGCTTCTGGCCACATGCGAAGCTTCTTGAATTGCTCGTGAGCTGTGCTGACCATTCCTCAGCTGTGGAGCGAATGCTGACATGATCGAGAATGATGCATTCGTCGTTCTTGAAACCTGACTCGCCTGACTAAGCAACACTTGTCGTCGGTTGGGTTCACAAGCGACAAGGGGGGAACGAAATAGGACACCCACTGTCTTTTCTCTGTTCAACCCCCGCGAACTACAAGCACCCGCATTTGTCTGTTTTGTGCAACGGTGAGTCAAGCAGCTCGCAAACACTAGTTTGCAACTCCTGTGAGCAATGGTTCAATCTACTTAAACGCGGTATTATCGACCCGGTTGCGGTGATCGAATGTTGGTATTGATTAGATACGTATGATAATATGTACATATATGTACATTACATTTGCTGTATAATACGTACTGTATATATAATATTTGCTACCTTCAAGATCTGGTGAAGGGACGCCGCAGAAGCATTTGCAACGAACGTACTTGTTTGGCTCAGCTCGACTGATCCCTTTGATTCAAGCTGGCTCAAAACTCAAATCTGTGCAGAACATCAACTTGAAAGCCAACAAATATATAACAGGTGCATCCCCAAAGATTCTATGCTATGCATCCAAGATGGTTTGGGACTTGGGGAGGGGTCACATGGATCCACCGATCGTACCTACTTTTGCCATCGATTCCCCAACCACCCAGGATCTCCTACCCGACATCCGAGAACGCCGAAGGCTCACCCCAGGTTCTACGGGGACAGGGCCGGTGCCAAGTGTCCCATCCGCATCATGCGGGTGGCCACCTCATGTTGAAGGTGAAAACGTGCAGGATAGCCACCTGCAGCAGAAACCCACTGAACTTGGGGCCAGTTTCAGTTGGCTTGCTGATGTAAATAGCCTTGCCCTACTTTACGCAGCCCAAAACACAGTTTAACTTCGGGTCTACTACTTCAGGTCTCTCATTTGCCCAGTGCTATGGCTGCCCCCAGCTGTACAAGCTCCTGTCAATTTTTGTTACTTGAGCTTTGAACCAATTGCAATATGAACACGCACACACACACACAAAGCAATTCACATGCCTGGGCTGCACAGCCTATCTGAAGTGAGTCTGACAAAGCTTAGGCAAAGTAAGCAACGGAATGTTTGAGAGGTATTTTGTGGGAGTGACACTTCCAGACCTATCAAAACAGCTGTAGAAGCAATGTACCGTAAAGCCCTTGCGATACTGCCAAGAAACAGCTATGTGCCATCCGCAGCCGGTGTGCTGCTGAAGGCTTCTCGTCCATGAATTGATCCACCAATGATTGGAGCTGGAAGGCCGCTCGTTCTCGGGTTTTGTTGCCTCAAATGCAAATGTTTGAGTCATCAACAGTGCAAAGAGAGCATCCGAGTGGTCTGCGATTAAAAGCCACAGAGCACATCTCTCGTTGTGAATAGTATGCGGGAACCCTCAAAAAACTGTAATCTACTGTAATCACAGAAATGTGCCTAAGTTCTTGTTGAGGTGATGGCCCCCAGTACAACAATAGAGTTTCTTGACTCGATCAAGGTGTTCTGTTAGCCCCACATTGCAGAAAGCCATGACTAGGAGGTCTCGAACTAGACCTGAGGGATCGTTTCTGGTGTTGAATTCTTTCTGCATCTCGGAGGTCCAACACATGGTCGGACGCCTACAGTGGTTTCAAAGGTTCAATGGCACCCCAAAGGTCAGTTGCTTATATGGACCCCCATCCAAAAGATTCTCAAAGATGCAGGGGTGCCGGCGCCATCTGGTCTGAAACGAACGTGTACTTTGTTCATCCCGAAGCTGAACGGTGCTCCATGCGGAATACTTCAAGGCAGTGCCTCGGGGTCCTGAGGGCAAAGCTAGCATGCCCTCACTGGTTCTGCGAATCTTTCGCAAATCCTACCGACCATGAGTATGCAACAAATGATCTTAGTGTATGTAGTTTCCAACTTTTCATGCCATGCATCCAGCGAGTACCATATGGGCGGCATCCATCAAAGGGACCCCTCCCCCACACTCACTTGACGAGGTCTCAGGTATTGAGCGCCACGGAGCCCAAGGCCAATATAATAGCTAAAAAAAATGTCATATTGCAATAGATTCCGTTTTTTACAAAAGGCACAGGGGCTCCAACAAATGCTGAATATTATCTTTTGGATTCCTATATCTTGAACCGGGTTCCTTTTGATATCTAACCCGTCCTTCAACAAAAGGCCACATGCCTGGTTACGGTGGTGCTCTGCGCGGCATCGAAACCACAGCCCACAGCTGAAGGTCAACCAATTCACTGTGAACCTAACTTGTGGCCCAGAGCGGGGTGGCGAAAGCTAGGCAAAGAAACAACGCTGGGGCTCTTTGGCAGGAAAGCCTGGCCGGGAATCGCAACATGCCATGGCCAAGGGAAAAAGAGAGTGCCAACAGCGCCCCCCCCAATACGACCCCAACACAGCCAACACATGGCAACACACAACCACCCCAGCAACGGCAGCAGCAGCAGCAACCAAGCAGCAGCGGCAGCAGCAGCATCATCAGCAGCAGCCACCAAGCAGCAGCAGCTACCAAGCAGCAGCAGCAGCAGAAGCAGCAGCTACCAAGCAGCAGCAGCAGCTACCAAGCAGCAGCAGCAGCAGCAGCAGCAGCTACCAAGCAGCAGCAGCAGCAGCTACCAAGCAGCAGCAGCAGCAGCAGCAGCAGCTACCAAGCAGCAGCGGCATCAACAGCAGCTAGCAAGCAGCCAGCAGCAGCAAGCAGCAGGTACCCGGCAGCAGCAGCAGGTGCAGTACCAAGCAGAAGCAGCAGCAGCAGCAGCAGGAGCAGCTACCAAGCAGCAGCAGCAGCAGGAGCAGCTACCAAGCAGCAGCAGCAGCAGCAGCAGCAAGCAGCCAGCAGCAAGCAGCAGGCACCCGGCAGCAGCAGCAGGTACAGTACCAAGCAGAAGCAGCAGCAGCAGCAGCAGCTACCAAGCAGCAGCAGCAGAAGCAGCAGCTACCAAGCAGCAGCAGCAGCAGCAGCAGCAGCAGCAGCAGCTACCAAGCAGCAGCAGCAGCTACCAAGCAGCAGCAGCAGCAGCAGCTACCAAGCAGCAGCAGCAGCTACCAAGCAGCAGGACGAGCAGCTACCAAGCAGCCGCAGCAGCTACCAAGCAGCAGCAGCAGCAGCAGCAGCAGCAGCCAGCAGCAAGCAGCAAGCAGCAGCAAGCAGCCAGCAGCAGCAGCAGGCAGCAAGCAGCAAGCAGCCAGCAGCAGCAAGCAGCAGCAGCAGCAGCAGGTACAATACCAAGCAAAAGCAGCAGCAGCAGCAGCAGCTACCAAGCAGCTGCTGCAAAAGCAGCAGCAGCAAAAGCAGCAGCTGCAGAAGCAGCAGCTACGAAGCAGCAGCGGCAGCACCAGCAGCAGCAGGAGCAACTACCAAGCAGCAGCAGCAGCCACCAAGCAGCAGCAGCAGCAGCCACCAAGCAGCAGCAGCAGCCACCAAGCAGTAGCAGCAGCGGCAGCAGCTACAGCAGCAGCAGCTACCAAGCAGCAGCAGGAGCAGCTACCAAGCAGCAGCTACCAAGCAGTAGCAGCAGCAGCAGCAGCAGGAGCAGCTACCTAGCAGCAGCTACCAAGCAGCCAGCAGCAAGCAGCCAGCAGCAGCAGCAGCCAGCAGCCAGCAGCCAGCAGCCGCAGCCAGCAGCAGCAGCAGGTACAGTACCAAGCAGAAGCAGCAGGTACAGTACCAAGCAGAAGCAGCAGGCACAGTACCAAGCAGAAGCAGCAGGTACAGTACGAAGCAGAAGCAGCAGGTACAGTACCAAGCAGAAGCAGCAGGTACAGTACCAAGCAGCACCAGCAGGTACAGTACCAAGCAGCAGCAGCAGGTACAGTACAAAGCAGCAGCAGCAGGTACAGTACCAAGCAGCAGCAGCAGGTACAGTACCAAGCAGCACCAGCAGGTACAGTACCAAGCAGCAGCAGCAGGTACAGTACCAAGCAGCAGCAGCAGCAGCAGCAGCCACCAAGCAGCAGCCACCAGCAGCAGCAGCAGCAGCCACCAAGCAGCAGCAGCAGCCACCAAGCAGCA